GCGCTTACCTGACTTCCCGCCCCAATAAACAAACTGAAAATGAAAATGCGGGTAATAGCCCCAGGATTCTTCATGGGCTGAGGGTCCAGGCAGGACCCACAGCCTTGGGGTGTCGCTTGGACCCGAAGCCTCGGGCGACTTGAGTGGGGGTGGGGTGGTGACGTATTGCCGGAGCCCTGGCAGCTCACCGTGCCTGCTCTGGTTGTAGAGGTGGCCAAGGTCCCGCAGCAGCGTTCTGAACCTCTGTGCGTTGCTCCATTGAATCTGTGTCTCCTTGTCCAGAACCTCCTGCCCCACCTGCTGGGAGCAGGCTCTGCCCTCTGACTGGGAACTGCCGAAGTGCCTTTCCAGTTCTTGGCTGTCCCCAGCTCTCAGAAGCCAGTGGAATTCCAAATCAGCTGAAATTGTAGGATGCATTTTCCAATATATCTCCTTGTAATGTTCATTTCTTCACTTCTCCTTATTTGTAAATCAACACTTCAGTAACCTTTGTGTGTCCAGACAGCTGTGTCTGCGTAACTTGAGCCTTCCAGGGCCCTGTGTGCTCTCGGAGGTCTGCAGCTCCCAGTTCCAGTACAGGTAAGGAAATAATGACCTATTATTTTCCATAGGCACGTGGGCACTAGTCCCCAGGGAACACAGTGCAGGCAAGCGCGGCATCAGCCTCTGCTCACCAGGACAGTGGTCAGGGAGAGAGCACAGGTCTCTGAGGGGGGTCCTGGTGGGCAGGGCTGGGCCAACTCCCACCTCCTCAAATTATTAAAAGACAGGATCACCCATATGCCTGTGCAACAAGGAAACCAGTGGATGCTGAAGGCACAAAGTGAAGCCGAGAAGAAACCCGCGTCACTCAGTCCCACAGGCAGCTGCCTCACACTGTGAAGGAGAATGATCAGGAACAAAGTCAGGGAAGTGTCACATTCTCCACAAAGCACCCTCCCAAGAATGTCCCTTCACAGCTCCCCATAACCTGGTCTCTCCTCTCTGCCCCGGCCCCTCCCATGCAGTTCCCAGCTCTCACCTCTCACCTTTATCAGAGAATCATCAGAATCCAGGGACCTTTTACTGCCTAAGGAGCACAACACAGACCCTGGTCAGAGCCATGAGAGAGGAGACCCCAGGAGGGACTGATGGGGTGACTCCCCCAGGGGCTCCATCAACACTGTCCCAGGGGCTCAAGGACTAAACCCCTGATCCACACTCACCTGCAGCCTGAGTGTAGCTTCCTCCTTTTCCACCTACAGGAAGAAACTTCAGGTGAGACCAAGGAGGAGTCAGCCAATGAAATCCTAAAGGAATCCCCTAGTCCTGGACACAGGGAACGTTCCAGAACTGTGACTTGGAACCCAGGGAAATATGAACAAAAGAGGTGGGCCAACCATTCCTATAGTCTGTTCTCTGCAGGGACCTTCCCCTGACATTTGCTGGGAGCCAGGTCCCCATCTCCACAATGATCAAGTGGAACAATGGGTGATTTATTTTCATAAGGGTTTTACACAAACAGTGAGGATTAGCAATCAGCTGCAGACTGGGCAATATATGTATGTGTACAGTATTTTTCATTCACTAAATAGGGCAAGTTCCCCCTGGGACTTGAAAGCCCCCAGTGGACAGGATCCCCCACTCCCTCCCTACCTGAGCGCTTCTTTCTCCATATCACAGCTGCAGCCACCGCAGTCCCAGTGAGCACAGCTCCAAGGAGAACCAGGCCAGCAATGAGGCCCCCGGTAGGGATGGAGGACTGAAGAGGGGGCTCTGGAAGGGAAGGGGAGGGGAGACCCTGAGCCCCAGGCCTCATCTAGAGGTTTCTAGAAGGGCCCTGATGTCTCTTAGAAAAGCCTCTGTTCTAAGAACATTCCCTGTAAGAACTTTCCCTCCTTACCCCATCTCAGAACTCGGGGCTCCGGCAGCCCCTCATGCTGCACATGGCACGTGTATCTCTGCTCCTCTCCAGAAGGCACCACCACAGCTGCCCACTTCTGGAAGGTTCCATCCCCCCCAGGCCTGGTCTCCACCAGCTCTGTGTCCTGGGTCAGGTCCTCCCCATCTCGCTGCCAGGTCAGGGTGATCTCCGCAGGGTAGAAGCCCAGGGCCCAGCACCTCAGGTCGACCTTATGGTCAGAGATGGGGTGGTGCGTCACATGTGTCTTCGGGGGGTCTGAGGAGAAGGGTCAGACATTCACACTTCAGGTTTCTTCCACAAACACTGACGCAGCCTCACTGACCGTCCTCAGAATGGGCAGGGCAATGAGTTTGGAAGGAGCTAGCAGAAAACCTAGTCTGGGAATGTAGGATAATCTTTTATTCATTAGAAAGCTTTAGAATTGGGATGCGATCCTGAGGTGGGAAGATGCAGGTCTCTGAGGAGGAGAAAACAGACTTTTGCTCTTGATCTGGGAGGAGAATGAGGAATCATACATCCAAGAGCATTCCCATACCAAAACCAAAATCTTGACAGAGAAACTAGTTGGTCCCCAAATGGTGCCTAGTCTAGTGGGTCCAGTGAAGAAGGGTCTCCCCGCTCAGGAGCATGGGATTCCTTCACTGTCTTTCAGTTGAAGTGGGGCCTGTGGGTGAGTCTCTCTCTAGTACAGAACAGGAAACCCAGGGGCAGCTGGCTCATGCTCTCTCACCAGAAAGTGGCTCTATTCTGATGATTACTCCATTTGGGTGGGGGTGGGTGCAGTCAGAAGGGAGGTCAGGGGTCTTCTAGGCCCCCCTTACCTGTGTGCTGCAGCTCCTCCTTCCCCAGCTCCAGGAACCTGCTGAGCCAATACAGGCACTTATCATTTACGAAGTTCCTGAAGCTCTCAGCCTTGTCTTCTGCCTCCCACTGGCGCCGGGTGATCTGAGACATCATGTCTCCCGCGGTCCAGGAGCGCAGGTCCTCGTTCAGGGCCAGGTAATCCTCACCGTCGTAGGCATATTGGTCGTACCCGCGGATGAGGCGCCCCTTGGTCCCCATTTCGCAGCCAAACATCCTCTGGAAGGTGTGAGACCCTGTCCC